ATTAGATATGAGTAATCTGTTAGATTTTGGAAGGCAAGTAACATTAAACCAAGAATTAAGAACTTAAGATAATTTGGGTTGATATTTTACCACAGCCTTTTCAGTCCATAAGGAAAAAAGAGGTAGTAGTAGTGAAGGGTGTGTAAACTATGTGTACTCACATCCCACCCCCAAAAAATCAGTAATTCTAGAAAGCCCACAGAAAATACAGCCTGGGATAAAGTAGAACAAATTCTATATTGATTTCTAAACCTTCACAAGAAAGCACATTTATTACATTTAAACATGAAAATACTTTTAAAAAAGCACTCAATGAAGATAAAGGTTAAAATGCATATTCTCATCAATAAGTTTTATGATAAAACTATCCTTCACTATCTCAACCATTATAACACTGTAGTAAGCAGAACTGTAAAATGGCCCCATGGTCTCCACATGTGCCATTGTATTACCCCCTGTATAACCCCTCCCCTGAGTGTGGAAGGGACCTGTGACATGCTAACCAAAAGAAGATGGTGAGAGTGATGGGATGTTACTCCCTTGATCAGGTTATAAAGGATGGTGATGGGGTGTCACTCCCATGACCGCATTATAAGACTGCCTTAGCAGACTGGAGAAAGAAACTCCCTTGCCGATTTTGAGGAAGCAAGCCGCCATGCTGGGAAATAGCCTACAGAGAAGCCAGGTAACAAGGAACTGTGGGCAGTCCCTAGGATCTGAGAGCAGCCTCCAGCTGAAAGCCAGCAAGAAAGCAGACACCTCAGTACTACAGCTGAAAGAAAATTCTGCCAACAACCTGTAGGAGCTTGAAAATCAATCTTTGCCAGTTGTGCCTCTGATAAGACCAAAGCCCCGGCTGAGTGAGGACCCAGCCAGGTAGTCCCCAGACTCCTGATCGGCAGAAACTGTGAAAGAATATAGGTGTGTTGTCTTGAGTCATTAAGTGTGTAGTAATTTGTTATGCGACAATAAAAAACTAACACAAATGACTAAGATAAGGGTTTTTTTTACCTTTTAATCAGTATCATCCATAATTTTAGAAATCTTTTAGAATTTAGAAATTTTAAAACTCTGAATAGCTTCACTCCATTAGACATTCAGATAAGTTGATATGCTTTGACAAAATTAAAAATTAGAGGATAACATTAATACTTTTTAAAAATATAAACTAATACTCACAAAAGGTAGAGTGCACTTTCGTACATGGCCAAATTGTGCAAAGTGTTCTCTCAGCTCACCTGTATAGGAGAAAACATGTCAGTAATTTTATCTGCCCCTGCCTAAACTGCAACTATTCTTCTTCAAGTCCCAGGCCAAAAGTAGTTAACAGATTTTGTATCCTCCATCCTAGATTGTAGATAGAAACAAAAAGGGGTCCTAGAGCCTCAAACTTCTTGTGAACAAGAGCTGCTTTGCATTTCCTAAAGCCTTAAGATTTAGGAGGCACCCTGGTATTGACTATAAAGCTGCAATGTACCAGATTTGGGGAGGTGATGGGTTGGGGATATGGATAAATTGCTGAGTTGACTGTAGTCTTCATCCCCACCAAATATTGAGTGTGTTCATACCAGGTACTATACTAGGTGCATGGATTATAATCCCTATGAGAAGATCACACAGAAGACAATTACAGAGTGTTGCTAGCTACATTAGAGATTTTCAAATAAAATCTCAATTTACTTGCCTTTCATAATTTAAAATTTGCACTCGGTTAAACAGTTGGTTTTCTAAAATTTGTTAGGTTGACCTTACCTACTCTTCCTGACTTATTTCCCATGGCAGGCTCATAGTTACTCTCCATTAGAGCAAATGAGATTCTATGTATCCAACTTGTGGATTCCCATCTTTGCACATCATTCTTTTCTCTTGATAATGTGGTAATCCTATCTGGCCCTGCCTAAACAACTATTTTTCAAGACCCAGGTCAAATATTATTTTATAAGACAATGTATTAGCACTATGAGGCCTCGAGGATGGACTATCGGTAATCTTACATCAAAAACATCTTTCTCTTCTGAACTATAGTGCCTGTACTTTCACTGATTTACATTTCATATTACTTGCTTATTTCCCCTAGTTCACTTAACCTCATTGGTTCAACAGCAGCCTACATTCGTAGTTGGTAAGTCTCCGCACCCCTACCACTACAGTGTAAGCTTCCTGAGTGTTGAGTCCTCTATGCCCACAGTGATTGATAGATATTTGCTAAACAAATGTCTAGTAATCTTTCGACAACCCACAGGGACTAAATTTCTGAGGAGCTCTAATAGTTGGTCAAACCAGTTGGCAAGATCTGATCTCACATAACATGTTACTGAAGGATAAACAAAAGTGTTAATATGCATGTTTTAAACCAGGTACTAAAAGTTTTAGAACACATTCACTTCCAAAACAAACTAGCTCTGGAAGGTAACCCTTTTCTCAAATTACCTACAATTTTTATGGAAAACCAGCTGCAAACACCAAGAACAATGCCCACCACATAATAGATACTCCTTAAATACTTTCTGAATGAATGAATCGACTGAGAAGTTGTTTCAAGGTGAATGTTATACAAACTCTTTAGAAGGGTTTTAAACCAGCCCGTTATGGTCTGGAATCTCACAATTGCAAGATGTTGGAGAAACCTCTTAGACTTTCCATAGTTTCATAGGGCCTAAGCAAGACATTTTACTGGGCTTGTTCTTCACCCATCACATATAAAGAATAGAACAGAGGTTACTCTTAGTATTTGTGGACCAAATATGATGGTAGGATGGGAAACAGGCACAAACCAATCTGTTTCCCATCCTACTATCATACCTGGTCCACAAAAACTAAGTCATCTCTGTTCTATTCTTTTAAGGAGGCTGACCTGATATGTGGATTATCTACAAAAGTGACCATAAGCAAATGTAAAATTGTAAATTGTAAAAATTTAAATTTTAACATCACTTACCAAAATTTTGGTAAACAAATGTAAAAACCTTATCTCAAAACAGCAGCTGACAAAAATCAATGTTGGTGAGAGACTTCAGTACTGATTACTCCTAATCCTCTATCTCCTGTCTAGGCCTCTCCTATGAGCTTCGATTTTAGTGCTCAAGAAAATAACTATCATTTATTGAGTACTTTCGGTATCTAGCACAAGTATAAGCAGTTTACACATAAACTCGTTTAATCCAATCAACAATCCTACGAGGAATGTTACTGACTCAATTTTATAGAGGATGAAATTGAAGGACAGTGGTGAACCCTTTGCCAAATTACCTTTTATTAGGTTATACAACTATTAAATGGCCAAGTTGGAATTCTAACCCAAGCAGTAGGGCTTCAGAGTGTATTTCTCAATGAATGATATACAATTTCCTCTGTCCAACTGCCTGGCAGAGACCTCACAGGTTTCTCGAACTCAATATATTTAAACTTTATTCTTCGTCTTCTTTCGACCTGCTTCTCCTACATTCTAACCACGAAATTCACCAACGCTAAAAACCTGGAAGTCATTCCTCCCTTTCCATCACTCTGTGCTCTTCCCTCAACACGAAAAACTGTCGACTCTGTTAACGTAAGTGTATCTGATCTCCCTTTTACCATTACCTAGTTCAAGTTCTCACCTTTGAAGTAAATTACTGAAACTGCCTTTTAGCTCGTCTCCTCGCCTCCAATTCATCCTCCTCCCTGCAAGCATATAAATACTCCCTAAATCGTAAATCTTAAAGTTTCCAAGTAATAAACCTTTCCACCAAATCACCTCGAAAGATGGAAGACTGTGCATACGTGCCCCAAAAGCTCAACGAACATCCCCACAGGGTTAATTACAAACAAAATTCCTCGCTGCTGATCGGTGAGCTCAAGAGCAAACTCAGCCTCCTGCTCCAGCCACACGCTGATTTAAGTGCTCCGCGGAAAGCAGAACGCTTGAGGATCGCTTGGACCTAAAAATGCCGCCCCTGCTACGTCTCACTCACTCGAGGCCGCGGTCCAAGGAATTTTTCTGACAAAGGCAATGGGCCGGCCGGTACTCGTCCGCAGAGCCATAGCGCCCCTCACTGCCGAAGCCGCCATCTTTAAGTTGAGGGACCTCCGTGACCTACGGTCGCGGCCCCGGAAAAACCTGCATGATCCGGGGCACGGGAATCTGCATCCGGGCCAGAGGGAGTTGGGCGGTGAGATGGGGAAGATGGCGGCGGCCGTGAGCTCTGTGGCTACGCTAGCGACAGAGCCGGGGGAAGATGCCTTTCGAAAGCTTTTCCGCTTCTACCGGCAGAGCCGCCCCGGGACCGCAGACCTGGGAGGGGTCATCGACTTCTCGGCGGCCCAAGCAGCCCACGGCACAGGACCTGGTGCCCACAAGGTAGGGAGAGAGGAGTGGCGCGCGCCTCCCCAGTCTCGCCTCGTTTCTTGGAGGGGTTTCAATGTCCTCCTAACTTCTTGCTGCTTCCAGACTGCTTGAAACTGAACGATCCCCGCCCTCTGTGGGCGCGGAGTCGAACTGCCTACGAAACGTCACACTTCGGCAACGGAGAACTGGTGCTTATTTCTCCATGAGGCCATTCGGCTGCGCCCTCGGTCAAAAAATGCCTGAGGCTTGGTGTTTCTTCCTTCCTTTGACTGTCCATTTGCATTTTTACTTCGATTTATGTAAAAACCCGTAATCTGTATTCGTAGACGTTGGGCTAGTGCTCTGCAGCTTTAAAAAACCAACTACCCGAGTAATCCCAGAACTGAGAGGGATCGATGCTGTTAGTTAAACCTTTGTACATAAAACTGGTCCCTGTCTTCTCTGAGTCTTCTAGAAAGAGGGCTTTGAAAGGTTCTGAGATAGTCTCTCCAATTTGAAAGTAAAGGGCAAACGAATCCAAGCACTGTTCATTATTTCTGCCTTTACTCATGGACATTAAGAAAAGTAACATAAGGTGAAGCAGGGGATATGGAGAAGCACGACTATAGTATAATGTATATTTTCTTTACAATCACTTTAATGCTGAGGATACCTGATCTCTTAATTTGCCCATTGTATTGTCCACAGATGGCAGGATGAGGCATACTTTCCAAGGTTAGTAATAGCTCTCAGTAAAATTGACATGCTGTAATAACACCATATTTGTCTAGAATTCAGCTTCTTAGAAACTTCATTTGCTAGCAGATATGTTCTTAGAGTTTTTAAAATAACATACAGAAAGTCTGCACCCTAAGAATAATGTACTTGACTCATGGGAGAGTCTCTCAGACCCTCTTTCAGCTCTTTTTGCCCATATTTTACCCTAATACTTTCATACTTTTAGAATGTAAGCCATCTGAGAAGGCGATGTTATATTTAGCACAGTACCTAAAACAGTGAGCATTCAGTAAAACACTACTGAGTACATAAAAACTTAGGTATTTAGTTCCCCACCTCAAAACAGATTGAAAGTTGCAAGTTAAGAGAAGAAAAACATTACCATAACAAGACACCTGATGAGAGCAGTGGAGAAAGTGATGGCTACAGTTTGGCAAGGAGGGCAACAGAAAAACTCAGAGTTCAGAGTTTGGTTCACCTTAGCATATAATAGATGAGGTCCACAAATTTACTTCAGATCTGAGGGTATTGCTGAATTACAGAGCAATATTAAGTATTTTCTACTTAAATCATCACGAAATGTTTAAAAACATTTTATCAGCCCCTAGGTACTTGGAAAGTTAGCTTGGTCAGGACTCGGAGAGTTCCAGATAGCCATTGTATTATACCCACAGGTTATACACCAGCCACTAATTGGTATTTTGTCTGGAAATCGCCACACTTGGCAGAGTTAATAAAATAAGAGATCATGTCTCTTTGGAAGAGAACATTTGATGTTCTAAGGCAAGCCAGACCCTAAGTTTATTCATGGAAGAATAAAGTTGGGTTTTTTTTCCTAAATGCCTTTATTTTAACGACTGCATATTTGATCTCTTTACCAGTTTCATAAAGAGCATCTGTAAGATGCTCTTACATGCAAAGAAAACTTCATGAGCCCCTGAAAAACATAATTCCTTATTCACAAAGGCAAAGAGTTCTGAGTTTCACTTTGAAGTTTCATCTGAAAGAGCAAATAGTGTACTTTAAGCAAACAAGGTTCCCAGTGTTTTGTTGGTACATTTTTTCTGTACGGTTAGAGTACTCTTGTTCCGTACGCTCACCCTCCCCAGCTTGGTTTTCCTTATAGCTCTGTTTAAACATCAGCTGTGTACAAGTCCCTCAGAAACATTATTATTAGCCCTAACTGAAGTAAACAGCATTGTGACTCAAGGTATTCCATTCATGATCAGAGTCCTGTAAGAAATCACAGAGGTGCAGTATCGTAGGAAAAGGTAGTCTTGAAAGTCAAAATCGGCCTGCTTCTCATTACTACTTACCTTAATTTATATAGCTCTCTAGTATATAGATGAAGAAACTGAGGCTCTAAGAAGTTAAGTGACTTATATGTCTTATTTCAAGTAAGTGGTGAAGCTAAGTTTAGGAACCCAAACATATGACTCCAAACTTTGCCCCATACCGGAAATGTTTTTTAGAGGTTTGAGGTTCTCAGAAATGAAAATAGCATTAACCCTCTGACTTTTCTTTCCTTCCTGCCAGGTGGTAAGATCTCAGCTAAGTGTGTCCTCGGTGAGTGACCATGATGCACATAGAGCAGGACTTCAACCGGTCAGCAAGTGGCAAGCCTACGGACTCAGAGGCTATCCTGGTGAGTGCCATTGACCTCAGAAGGTGAAATCAATCATTCGTCTAATTTCAGAGGAGGAACTGTAAGCTAGTAAACAGAAAAAGAAGAAAAGTAAACACAAGGAAGTGTTCCACTCCCAGACCCCTCCTAAATTCTGCCTCATCTAAGATTTTCATTTACTTAGCCCTCCCAAAGAAGAGTCAGTAATGCCTGCTTATATTGCAGAAAGTGGCACACCAAATACAAATCAAGAACTAGGCCATGGACCCTGGACTCCCCGCCACAACTGTCTGAACACCTACTCTGGCAGAAGAACCACTTTGGGTGACAGTAATTCATAATGGTCACTCAAATCACAAAATCCCTACATTCCAAATGGCATCACAACAACCTTAAAAATTGTTGCTATCATCAAGGCTGAACATTTGAAAAAAATTAGTTAATGAGGTCAAAAGTCCTAATAGAATAAATAATCTAGTATTTTTTCATTTTAGTGATGTTGAGTAGCTCTCTGTACAGATAGATTAAGATAATAATGAAGAGTAGGTAATGTTATTAACGATTTTTTTAGGATCATGGAGCCATTGTAATTATTAGATAACATAAAATATTAACATTCAATATTTAAAATATATACTTTAATGTAAAATATAATGTTAATGTTTTAATAAAATTAACAATTAGAAAAAATGGAAATGCCTTATTTGGCCAAATAGTTATATCTTTCATCCTGTTTCTTTCTAGAGGACATAAAGTTAACATCGCATTTGTGATTTCAAATATGGGTTAAAGCAAGAGATACCCCTAAAAAGAAATATTAATTTTTGTTGTGCTAAGGGCCAGGTCTGTGTTACAGCTCTTAATACATTATGACCACTGAAGTATTAATAACATGGAAAGGCGTAACAGCTTTAGTATTTCCTATAAAAGGCCTCTTGCACTTTAGCTCTGTATTAAAGAACTAAAGAACAGTAGAATGATGGCTTTTACATACAAAAGCATTGGTCTTCACAAGTTTAGGTAAATGAGGAGCGTGCATCACCAGCAGTCTTTCAATCACTTTTTGTTCTTGAAGGCTGCCCTCTCTCTACCTTTAAGGCCTAGCTCTTGTTTTCAAGGCCTTGTTTCCCTGTAGCTCTTCCTTCTCTTAACAGATTGTTCAGACAACAAAGTTATCAACTCCAGTTTGGTTTTCTTTTGTCCAAATTGGTGTACTTACTTTTTGAGGTTTTCTAGGATTTCATACTTAAGCCACCTCACTATGTCCCTAGAGACTTTATTCTGTTTTCTCCACCACTGTAAACAGCATTAATAGAAGTATAATGCCCAAAACATGGATTCTGCTTATTTTGAAGCAACCTGAGTATACCACAGTCTGTCCTTAATGAGAGTGAGCAGGAGAGTGATGGACCAGTCTGAAGACCAGAAACTGAGTCTGAGGAAGAGTGGACTTCAGGGGGAACATGGTAACATCAAACATTTGAAAAGTTTTGTACACAAGAAAAGGGACAGGAAGTGTGCATACCAGTGGTTAAGGCCTAGCTGTGCTGATACCAGGCTGCCTGAATTCATGTCATCACCACCCTCTACTAAGAGGCAAGTTTCTTAATCTCTCTTCGCCTCAGTTTCCTCATTTGTAAAATGTGTATAAAAATAAAACCCACTTCATAAGGTTATTATGAGGATTAAATGCGAGTATACATGTAAAGTACTTCGGTCAGTGCCTAGCACTTAGTAAGAGTCAATAAAGGTTAGCTGTAAAGCTAGAGGTATTTATCAAGAAGAATTAAAAACTAATTTGGGGTTGCTGTATGTGACTGAACCTAAGCCAATGAATGAAAATTAAAAAGAGGCAAATTTTAACTCAGTAAAAGGAAGCAACAGTTGTCTGGAATGGACTGCCTAAAAAAGTGTTAAATTTCCTGTCACCGTTCAAGCATGAAGTAGATCAGAGGTATGCTTCCTTTAATATTTTGAGGGGTGTTATAATCTTTATTTTGTGAAATAATGGTGATAGCAGATGGTAAGTTGTTAGTTTTTTTCATATCTTTTTTTTTCCCCCAAATACTGACAGTCCTGTCACTCTCCTAAATTACTTGATTTTTACTGATACATGAAATGCAAAAGTGGCCTCCGCACTTAGCAGCAAATATTCTCATTTTTATCCTCCAACTTTAGGAGTTCCTTCATTTCAAAGCCCTTCGTCTTTTTGTTCCCACCTTCTTTCACCTCTTCCAACTTTTAAGACCTATCCCTTTTCTCTCTTCTATTTTCAACCAGTTTCTCCTTGCTTTCTCTTTTCTCATGCTTAGGTCTTTTTAAACCCTAAAAACCATAAACTCCTGCCTTATTTCTTTCTTCTTTGACTACGCCTCAGCCTTGTTTCCTTTCATACCCAGGCTTTTAAAAGGCATTATCTGGATGATTGTCCCTGCTGTCCTATCTCCAGGTACTTCACTGAGGACAAAGTTTTTCATCTCTTTATCTCTTATTCTTTAGAAAGTACATAGTGTGTGTTTCTTGAATGTTTGATGAATTAATTCTTAACCATGCACAGAATTCCAGTTACATATTACTTCACTTACAAAGGAGAAAAAAGGGTTAGATGACTTTCAAGGTCACAATGATCTTTTCAACATACATACTGTAGGTTTTGCATTGTGCCATATTGAGCAGATATATATACCATCTTCAGGAGGCAGAAATCACACTATTTTAACTGAAATAATTTAAAGAATCATGAGCCAGAAAGTAGAAAACAGAAAAGGCAAAAAGGGAACATAAGATATCACAAACATAATGGCCGGGAGCAGCTACCATCTCTGTAAATGATCACACCAGGTGAAAATTTGAGGGATGGCTTTTGACAGTTTCAGTTCTAAAGTTTGCTTTGGGGTAACACAATTGATAGTTATGGAATGTTTGTTTCTTTTGAGAATAATCCCCCAAACCAGAAGTATTTGCATAGTGATGGATGTCTAATGTTCATCAAAATTTAACTTTTTACTAACTGTCTTAAAGGAACTTCTCCTCCTCTCGGATTGGAGGATAGGAATGAGAACATTTGCTTATAAGTGTAGAAGCCACTGGAAGCATAAGCACAAGGAGATGGAGAGTAAATAAAGTAGTGGTTATAATGATGACAACAGGAATAAATAATCTGAATAACTGATGGAGAATTTCCTCCTTCCTTTTTTTTCTCACCTGTTTTTTGTATAGGATTTATTTTCATCCCGAATCCCTTCCTCCCAGGTTACCAGTGGCACTGGGTGAAGCAATGCCTTAAGTTATATTCCCAGAAACCTAATGTATGTAACCTGGACAAACACATGACTAAAGAAGACACCCGAGATCTATGGGAACAGAGCAAAGAGTCTCTGAGGTAGGTTTTATCAATCATAAGAAAGTGCCAGTGTTCGGGTCAGGTCATCACAGATCTTTAAAGGAACTACTCTATAACAATGCAGTGAAAGTAACTGACCTGTTTATGTTTCCCTCATTTCTACACAAGTGCAGCACAGTTACATTCTTTTCCTCCAGGAGCATTTGGACAGATGCTTTAACAGTTTTATTAAATTGAGATCCATTTTAAAGATTTGCTTATCATAGCTTAGATATCAAGTTCATCCTCATTAATCATCAGATGATTCATTCTCATTCAGCTTCAGCCCTTTTTTTCCTACTTAAAGTGATTTCCTTTGGAGACTGGTGGTATCCTGGCAAAAAGCAACACTGAAAGCTCCTTACCTCTCTCCTAAATGAAGTCTGTGTTACTAGCTGTTTTATGGCAGGTCAACTGTCCTTCGTGAGAACTAATGTTTGTACCTTGATATTGTTTCAACATTCATTCATTCCACGAATACTTATTGAGGTCAGTTGTGTACCAGGCATGATGCTAAGCATTGGAGATACAAAGATAAGTGGGACACTATTCCTGCTCTCAGAAGTGTATCGCCTGTGGCAGGAACTCAATATCAACAGGAATAATGATAATAGAGCTCAGCAAGAAAAACGGTGTCAGAGCCAGAGGAAGAAATAATTCTTCCAGGCAGGAAGGAGGTGTCAAAGAAGAAAAAATGATTTTTTAATTGAGTCCATTATCTTCTTTTTTTTCTCTGTCATTTAAATTAAGTCTTCAAAAGCGATAAGTTGTTTTCCAGTCAGAAAAGCAAGAGGTTGTTTTGGGTAGAGAAAGCAGCCTGAACAAAGAGGTAATATTTAAGATAGAGTGAGTTTTTCTTTGAGATAGGAGCACAGGATATGTGCATTCATGTGTTTATTCAACAAATTACTATTGGGTTTCTGCTGTGAGTCAAATACTGTTTGAGTGTTAGAGATTTGAAGACGGATAAGATACAGTTCATGCCTTCCAGGAATTTGTAGGCTAGTAAAGGATAGAGAAATATAACCATATAATTAAATATATTTTGACAGATACAAGCATAGAATTGATAAGATATGGGAATGGTCCTTTAGGTGGCTATATTAGAGGTATATTATGGAAAATGCTTCCCGGAAGCCATGGATAGAATTGGCAAGAGATGAAGTGGGAAAGATAGGTTAGGGCCAGATTATAAAGAGTTTTGTGATGTGTAGAGCACTAGTTCTAGAGTCAGATTGCCTGGATTCAAATCCCGATTCTGCCACTTAAATAGCTGTTAACTAAAGCAAGTTTCTTAACCTTTTTTTGCCTCATAGTAGTCCTTTCCTCATTTGATAGTGTGAGGATTAAACAAGGTGTTATGTGAGAAATCCTCAGAGCAGCCTCTTAAAACCATTATACCAGATTTGTGTCTTCTATTTGGACTTACTGGCTATAATGGTGGAATTTTCAGAAACTGCATCATGCTTACTCTAACAAGAGAAATAGAAGATTCTCTTAAGTTCAAAGAGGAAAGGAAAATGAAAATTCGTTGGTTTCCCTTTAAAGCTTTCTTGGTCTGTAGGTTATGGTCTGTAGGAAAATACTGTTCTTTAAGCTTTTAGTGTCGTTAGAACTGAGAGCAAAGTAAAGGAAGATCGTGGTTGAGTGAAATTAGTCAAAGAAATCTTAGAGTTTGTTATTAAACCAACCTGTGTTTTCAAGTAATTGATTTTTTTTCCTTCTAGCAGTGACTGTAGAAATCCTAGTTGTCACCTTCTAAGGTAGATCAGACAAATCTATTTAATAAGTTGTCCAGTAAATAGTGGTGAGATACTTTTTTTCTCTAATTATCAAAAATTTAAAAATGTGATAGTCGTACCTCCTGTTGTCAGGGTTAGAAAAAACTGATATGCTCAGACATTGCTGGCAACATTGAAAATTGATTAGGGCCCAAGTTCTGTCACCGGGTGATATGTGTTCCAGTTTCCTCATCTGGGAAACAGAGGGATTGGACTGGATAAGCCATTCAGGGTGGTTGAATCATGGTCAGTTAGAGTACATGCCAGCTGGACAGTATGTGCTAGCGCTTTCCACGTTCCCAGAGCATATCAGAAAGGGGGAGAGTCTGTGGTTCAAATATATTCCCCTGGAGATTCTATCTACCATACATCCACATGGGGAACCACTAAACTATATGACCTCTAAGGATCCTTTCAGTTTTAACTTTCTCGGTTTCTCTGGTCAAGGAAGAAGACATGACTAAGAAATACTTGAACTTAGAAGCAAAAATAGGTCTGTTCACAAAATTAGGGCACCTCAATTTTATGTTTCCTTCAAAGTTTATTGTCAGTGAATAGTGCAGCTAGAGATTTTGTGCAAGAGTATAATAGTTAAATATAAGCATCTTCGTTACAGCATTGTTTATAATGGGGGAAAAAAAATGAGAAACAACCTAAGTGTCTGTCAGCAGATCAGATAAATCAGGCATGACATACCCCAGATGTAGAGTGCAGCCACTATGCAGCCATTAAAAAATCTTAAGTCCAAACCCTCTAGCAAATATAGTAGGGTCTACAGTCATAATAAATAAAATCATTTCTCAGCATCTCCATCACAACCACCTTAATCTAAGCCACCATCAGTTACTACAGTAGCCTCCTAACCAGTTTCCCTTGTGTCTGTTCTTGTGCCTCTTCAGTCTGTTTTCTACATAGAGTAGAGAAACCATGTCATCTCTTATATAGTTTCTTACCTGCAATACCACAGTTCAGTTCTGATGCAGACCATCCAGAGTTGGCTCAGGCATCAAAAGTTAAGAGCATGGTCCCAACCAAACTACTCTCACTTCAGACACCGGCCACAAGTTTGGGAGATCTCCAGACTACCCACACTTCTGACAAACTGGTTACAAATTTAGAGGCGTTCCCATGACTCCCTCAGGTTCAGTAACTCACTAGAGTCACTTGCAAATCAAGAAAACATACTTAATAATTACAGTTTTATTAATAAAGGTTACAAATCAGGATTGCCCAGTGAAGAGACACATAGTGCAATGTCTGGGAGGATCCCAAATGCAGAACTTCCGTGTCTTCTTCCCATGGAACCAAGATGTGTTGCCCTCCCATTTTTTTTTCAGGCCTTAGTGTTCAGAGTTTTTATTAAGCATGATTGATTGAATCATTAGTCATATAATTAAACTCAGTCGCTAGCTGCCCACCTATCCCCGGAGATCCTGCTAATATCACTTGACTCAAAAGCTTAATCCTCTAATCACATGGTTGGTCTTTCTAGCTTGACAAGCCTACATCATGAGTCATTTTAGCCTATACTCAGGTGTGGTCCTAGGGCCCACAGTGAGTAACAAAGACTCTCTTGTCTTCCTTGGGCTTAAAAGTTCTCTTCCAAAAACCAGGGACAAAGGCCAAATTCTTTGTTATACAACCCCATCACACTTAGAATAAAATCAGAAGTCTTTACCATGGTCTTTAAGGCCTAGATGATCTGGCCCCCAACCACTTCTCCAACCTCATCTCCTGCCATTCCTTTTCATTTATTCTTTGGAAAGCTCTTCCTTTAGAAAACCAGTGGCCTTCGTTTAGGTCTTTATTCTGATATTATGAGAGATTATCCCCTTATTCAATTAACAGTAGTCCTCTCTTCCCCCTCACTGCTATCCCATTGCCCTATGATTTTACTCTTCAGTGCTTGGTAGTTACTAAATATTAGTGGAGTTAATTAGTTAGTGGATAATTGTACTTTTTGAATTTTGTGAATGTGTTATCCAAAAATAACTTTAAGAATAAGTGAAGGGGAAATATAAATTTAAATAAATCAACTTAGTTTTATATATTCCATAAATTAGCTTATGAAATGCTTTCTATCCATCTTTGTATATGTGAAAGCTTTTTTATTATTGTTGATATCCTTAGTGTGGAAGCAAAATTCTTTCCTTTTTCTACTCCTTTAAGACTTTGTTATGGTGCTATTATAACATTTATCATAGTGAATCCAGTCATCTGGAAAACAAAAAAAGGCCATTGCCCTAGGAAGCATCAGCTCTGGGGAAACAAAACAACAGCAACAATAAAATGTGCTATTAGAAGTCAAGACAGGAAAATGTTTCTAGAATAAGAAGGACCAACCATGTCATTAGGCCTAGGATTTGACAATAACCACTTAATGGAAACTAAGAAACTGGTTTTGGTAGAAAGGTGTTAGCAAAAGTCAGATTGCACTGAGAGGAAACAGTGAGGGAGGCAAATATTGAGTCCTTTTAGGAAGGTTTGATTGAAATGAACTGGAGAGGTACAGGGCAGAGGGAAGCAGATCATAGGCAGGGGACTTGAGTGAGAAGTCAAGTTGGGGAAATTATTTTTGTAGTTTTTTCTTAAGTATGTGGAAGTGTTAAACATTTTTGCAGGTCCAGAAGAAGAAACAAGTGCAGAGGAAGAACTGAAAGTATCAGAAGAAAGGTGATTGATGGAGAAAGGCCTCAGAGGCTATGTCAGGGAAATGAGAGATAGTATAGGTAGAGAACTGGCCATAGTGGAAAGAAGTAGGACCACTGTTGAAACCAGGAGGGAAGGATGGGGTAAAGATTTTGAAAAGTTTAGAGGTGTTGGGGAGGAGAATCAAAATCGTTCACTGGATCATTTAATCAGGCTTCTATTCTCATTGTCCTAGAAGGGAATAAGAGCAGGACTGAGGACTTGAGATGAATGGCTGAGGTTTAGAACAGTAGGTAGATGATTAAGTAAGACTAAATAATTGCAAGATAGCAAAAGGATGTTAGCAATTATGGTGGAATTTGATGTCCATTTGTAGTAGTTGACTGAGAGGTTCAGGTGAGAAAGGAGACAAAGCTGGAAGCACTCAAATACTGAAAAAATGGAGTTCCAGAGGCAAGAGATGGGACTTTAGGTTTAATGGAAATGAATGGCCAGGAAAGGGAGGACAGAAAGCTGTGATTGTGGAGGGAAATTTCAGTTGTGAAAGATGCAATTCTCAAGCCTTTAAGAGTGAATAAACAAACACTGTCAATAAGATTTTGAAGGTTTTTTTTTTAATTGTAAACAATCTTTAGACTTTCTGATCTGAGTGAGTACTTTTGCTTTCATGATTTATTAATGTCTCTTGAGGCAATAAGAAGAAAATACCAATCCTTAATTATGACTCCCAAATTACCCACTGCACTGAAAGTGGACAAGCAGTGGACAGGAGTTCATTTCTACCTACTTAAGGTTTGGTTGAACACAGTGCTATAGAACATGATTGCTGAGAGAAATGCCACACTTACACACAAAGCATTTACCCATGACAGAGAGCGAGCAAACTGCTGTATGAGCACATTTACCGGGGGAGAGGGTAACCAGCCCACCATCCATTATCCTCTTGCTAATGCCTAGAGGAGCAGCAGGGTAGGGAGAATAGCATATTTCTTTTGGCAGTGAGAACCAATAATGAGGGGCATAAATGCTTGAAAACATTTTTTTGGATATTAGAAAGATTTAGAGTTAGGTTATTCCCTGCATTCCTTAGGGAATGCTTCTTTGGCACTGAGCCTTCTTGGCCTCCTTTTGGAGAAGTTGGGTTTAAAAAGAGAACAGCCCACCCCCTTCATGTTCTCCGTATTTTCTGCTTGAAAATGATCTGGGAACTTGTTAAACTTGGTTTTGGCCTTACACTATTCACAATGTTTCGGAGTGAATTTTTTGGAATCTTTGTTACCCAAGAAGCCCATGGGGACCATAAGGGTCCCTAAGTAGTAGTCAGACAAGAAATGTCTAGTGTTGGCCAGTCTTGCGCTCATATCTGGAAGGCAAGTGTTATAACAATTATTGCTACTTTCCTTCCAGAAATTCTATAAAGAGGCAAGAATTGAAATTGAGTTCTCAGAAGAGAATATGGAATGAGGAATCTCATACCTACATGGGTCTAACACATTACACAAAAATATAAAATTCTCAAAATGGCACAGACACTGAATGATCACATTCTTTCACTAAGCAAGTCCTTTAAGCTTTTTCTTTTTGTCGTGAGGACTGGATTTAATGCTTTTAAAAGTTAAGACTCTTTGGCTTCTTTTACATCCTTGGACCAATCCCCCTTTATAAAATAAGGCAAAGCCCAAAGCTTTTGTTATAATGATTTAGTTAAGATAGAGAAGAGATGATGTTCTTTTTGTTTTCTAAAAAAGGAACTAAATTTACAAAAGTATATTATAGGATGGTTCTATTTGTGTTTGGTCATTACTATAATTTTGGTAATTTTATTGTTAATACCATAAACTTGTATTAATACCGTATACTCTGTTCTTAAAGAACATTAGACTGAATCTTTTGCTGGAAAGGCAGCTTGTTAGTGCCATATCAAATGTCTAAAATGCCATCACCTTCTGAATTATTTCCAGAGCTGCATTGTTATTTATTTTGTTTAGATTGATCTGGTTTCAATATAATAGTATGGGTTCTTCATCAAGAATAAAGTGATATCTTATTGAGCTAGAAAGAGATGGAAACATTTTGTTTTGTCTTTTTAATTTTATCTAGAATAGTGTTTCTTAAAATGTGATCCTGGGACCAGCAGCATCAGCATCACTTGGGATCATATTAAAAATGTAGATTCTTAGACCTCACCCTAGATGTGCTGAATCAGAATTTGTAGGACTGGGCCCATCACATGATTCTGATGAGCATTGAAGATTGAAAACCACTCGGCAGAAGCTAGGGGTGGAGTACACACGGGTTCCATAAAAGCTTTTTATACAGCCCTTCTCTTCCCATCTAGATACTCAGGACACCATCTATTTTGTGTTCTATATTCCATTTATACTACTGACTTCAGCATCTTCATTTTCTCTCTCCTCGAAAACACATAACTTCAATATCCATGAAATCATCATCCTTTTCTTCAGTAGCATTTCCTCTTTGAGAATATCTTTAAATAAAGCATTGGGTACCAAATGGTATCTAGGAAAGAGAAATAAATAGACTGGATTACCTCTGTAAGGTAGTTACATAACTCTGGAACTACATTTATATTACTATTAACCACAAGATTCACATGAGTCCAGATGTAAGAGGTCATACTTATTTTTCTGTCCCAAGGGTACCAAAATAGAATATGTTCTTTGAGAGATCTCTTTATTTGTACTTTTAGCTGAAGAAACATTGGTAGAACTCAGGTTATGTTAATAACTACATTGCATTTTTTTAAAGTTTTTACACATAAAATTTAATGAATGACGGTTATGTATAATAACTGTTCACATCAGCTAGTTGCAGTCACTGGCCAAGTCTACATAACTTTTCCCCTAATTCATTAATCGTTGTCTATCTCCTGGTGTGCCAGGCGTTCCCCAAGGCCACACCCAAGTTTAATGATTAGCCAGGAAGACACAGGACTCAGCATATATAATTGTACTCATGGAAAAGATTTATTACAGTGAAAGAATACAAAGCAAAATTAGTGAAGGGAAAAGGAGTATGGAGCAAAGTCCTGGGAAAATCAGGCTTAAGTTTCCAGGGTACGCTCCCAGTTAAATCACACAGATGTACTTAATTTCCCCAGCGATGAGTTGTGGCAACATGTGTGAAATGTCTACCAGGGAAGCTCAGTGCCCAAGTTTTTCCTAGGCTCTGGTCACTTAGGCGGTCTCTGCCTAACAGGTACCAAAATTCCAGACTCCCAGAAGGAAAGCAGGTCTTCATCATAAACTGTATTGTTTGGACAGACAGTTTAGGCACAATGAGCAACAGTTTGGGGAATGGAGTGAACCCCCAAAATCCAAGTTCCAGATGCCCACCTAGAGAGAACCTAATAAACAAGTCTTTCAAAGGATAGCAATCAGATATGGTACGCCTCTTTTCTGCACAGCTGTCCTAAATAAATCAGTGTTTTATTTTTTTTAGCTACTGGTCTTGATATATGCCTGTGCCACAATGTCCTTAGAATATAAACTCTGTGAGGACAGATAGCATGTATTGTCAGACATTGAGATGAGTGCTACTTAACAGTGCGAGCCTCTAATAAATCCTTCACTTATGCTCATGCTGTATGCCTGCATTGCCTACTGCATCACTCCCTGTTTAAATGCCAGCCATTTTTCAGTGCCATGCTCAACTCCCAACTCTGTGATGAAGACTTAACTGATTAGATAGCTGACTTTGAGCTCTCCTTTTTCTTAATTTTAGTGGCCCTCAAAGTCATGTGCTATTTAGTTTAGTTCTAGATTGTATACTACCTTGAATTTTCCCTTATTTCTTATGCTAACCTGTCATTTTGTCAGAATACAAACTCCTTAATTTAGTCTTTTTTAAACAGTAGTGGTTCTTGAATTTTTTAAAAAATTAATCGATTAATGGTATAAATTATATAGAAAAAATAAAATGATTAGGCCTAGCATTCTTGTATTTTTAGATGTAGAGGTATGTCAAACAAGCTTCTGCTTTAGAAAAAGAATAGTTAATTCCATAGATTTGATCAGATAAGATATTAATTGCAGAAAGGGCACCTCTCTATTTTACAGGAACCTCCTATAGTTTGATCGAGGGATATCAGAAACCAGATTACAGTGGTCCTTAATTGTTAGCTAAGCCCCAGTCATCTAAGCTGTGTATGCAGAGTTAAAGAAGTCATGTTAATCCACTTATTGATTGTACACAATATTTTGCCAAACTTTACCCAACCTGTAATTCTGGTAAGTCACCATGATTATAGACAGAGTGATAGCTGTGATTAATCATATACCCCACCAAATTGAACATGTTCTGTTAGACAAATTTTCAATTACCCATATTGCTCTTGGTCTCATTTAAGATGGACAGGTAAGATATTTGTCATTCTTGTTTTATTATTATTGAGATGCTGAAGACTTGCCATTTAAAAATGATTGAGCAGAGGATTTGGAACTAAGGACAAGAAATTAATAATGCTAACATGTTTTTAGTATTATTTTATTCTTGGTCAACTCATTTATCTGATCTAATTTTCCCTATCAAGATCTTGCTTCACAGCTTATATCACAAATTTAGACTGTAGTGTCCATGCAAAGAGCTATTGCTGCCATTTGAAATGAATAAGTCCTCTTTTGTCTCCAATCTTTGCAGATATAAAGACATGAATAAACGGAGACCCCGAAGCTTACTAGAAAAACTGCGGTGGGTGACCCTAGGCTACCATTATAACTGGGACAGTAAGGTATTCAGATTTTCTTGCTAATTCCATTGTTTTCTATTTTTATGCTTCTTGGGCCCAGGTAGTGGGATTTCTTCCTTGCCAAATTTGCAATATCATATTATCCATTTGTGGAGGAGCTCTTTTGTTTATTCCCTCTTAAAATCCTCTCAGTATCTCAAGAGGCATGGATAATTTATTAAGAGAAACTTTCTTCATGTGCCCTCAGATTATATTATTTCATCAGAAGTTATAGTGCTTTCTCTAAGTAGGTTTCAGAAACATTTTTTACTGCATTCAAGAGCAGTTCTCAGTAATGATCTTTATTTCCATTATTGTTTAGTGTTTGTTGAAGCTCCATATACTTCTGGTGTATATATGACTAATAAAAAAACTTTCAAGATCTAGATTAGATACCTTTGCTTTCTAGATAAGTTCTGAGCAGGAGAGAGATGGGAAGGAATGTTGTACAGTTAACAAAGTTCCATGTTTTCTGGAGGCACAGCTTCTTCTTTCTGGACCTCTGCACTTCAGAAAATGCCTCCTTTCTCACTGGCAGTGCAGTGCCTCTTGTCTCAATGAGATGTTTGCCACCATGTAAAAGGACTAATTCTGAGAGTAAACTGAATAAAACATTTCTTCTAACCAGTCACTTTTTAAAAGCTCTATGATTTCAGTCAGCTGAGCTTATTAACAAGAATATGAACTGATCAAAATAATGATGTTACTCAGAAATATTCATGATATAATTCTTATTTTCAGTGATACTGATTTAATGGAAAACTAGATATCGTTTTTGGGAAAATGGCCATGGATTTTCTTTGGGTCAGACAGCCTGCGTCTGAATTTGGCCTTCAATAAGAACCTTATAAGTTAGTGTTGAGAATGAAATGACCAATGTCTACATAAGTGATTACAACAGTGCCTGGCTATTCTAAGCAGTTAAAGGCATTAGCACAATACATGTTAACTTATTGTTTTTTAGGAATTTTTTTATTTGTTGACATTGTTATTTTCCAATGACCTCAGAGTTAGCCTCATTTACTAAGAAATGTGGAAAGAAAATTGTCTAAAACTCTGAATGAGTAATCAGAGAAAAGTGAAAGAGAATTAAGAAAGTAGTGCATAAACAGCTGGGATAGGGTCGATAGCCCAAAAAGGTAATTACTTCATGAGAGCAGAGGCGAGGTAGTGCTAGAAGAGCCAGATCTGAGTGGCTTGATATTCTGAAGGACTAAAACTCAAAATTGGTAGAGAAAACCTTAAAATTCTCTAACTACACCCATAGTTTTAGGAAATTAAATAGGAACTCTGATTTGCAATCAAGAAAAGGAGAAGAAAAAAATAAAACAGATTCCAACTGAAGAGGCTTGGCCACCCATCAGAGACTTCAAAAAAGTCTTCCTTACCCTGAGGTTAAAGCTCACTTCTGGCCAAAGTAAATACCTTCTGTCCAGAGCTGTGACACCGTTGCTCCAGCTAGAATATATCAGGACACTGGTGGAGATGCGAGACAAAAGTGGATTTTCTACTCAGTTTAAGGTTGGTTGAGCAAAAGGAGAAGTGAGAGGGGAGCGTCAAGACGAAGGAAGAGTGTCAGGCTGCTGCAGGCTTACATAGCCCAGAGCTCTGCAGCTCATCTGCACCGGACACTGCCTTGTCATTCTCATGAAATATACACGTTTTGTAGAGAGTGAGTGTTCTAGCCTTTGTATGTGTGTGTTTTATTTTTGTTTTTGTTTGTTTGTTTGTTTTAGAGAAAAAGGATATTTGTGACCCTTAGGTGCTAAAAGTAGAGGCGGTTCAGGAAAGTGCTGTATATTACTTCCATATTAAGTTCCTGCCATGACCACAGCATAAAGTCAGTTTCAGTGCAGATGTTCTGAGCATGTCATCCCATAAGTTAGACCAATGTTTTCAGCACTAAACCATGTTGCAGGCTGAGTCCAAAACCAAACTGGCAATAGTATTTGAGTTGTCTTTTTTTTTATTTTTAATAAACTTTGTACTTTAGGATAGTTTTAGATTTATAGAAAAGTTGAAGTGTACAGAGAGTTCCCATATACCCCACACCTAGTTCTACCTATTATTAACTTCTTACATTAGTGTAGTACCTTTGTCTCAATTAGTGAACCAATAGTAATACATTATTATAATAGTAAAGTCCATACCTCATTCAGATTTTCTTAGTTTTTAACTGTCCTTTTTCTGTTCTAGGATACCACATTATATGTTGATGTTATGTTTCCTTAGGCACTTCTTGGCAGTGACAGCTTGGGGGTTTCCTTTATAGCCTAAGAAAACTATCTTGTTTGAGATTAAAGTGTACTAGAGAGATGTGTAGTAATTGCTTCGTGCGTAGATTGCCTTCAGGGTGAACTTGTGTAATTTATCACCACTTAGCACAGTGTCTGCCATATTATAGGCGCTCTGTATTTTGAATGGCTCATTATTTGATTAGGTGCCTCAAAAAATGGTTGGATAAATCATGCAATGTAAATGCTACACATAAGTTAGATGATTTTTAAGTGGTAATTAATCTTATACCGCAGTTTGTTATTTTCCTGAGATCATTGTTTATTTTTCTTATTTTTCCTACTTTTATTAAAGAAATACTCAGCAGATCATTATACACCTTTCCCTTCTGACCTGGCTTTCCTCTCAGAGCAAGTAGCTGCTGCCTGTGGGTTTCAAGGTTTCCGAGCTGAAGCAGGTATCCTGAATTACTACCGATTAGACTCCACCCTGGGAATTCATGTAGACAGATCTGAACTAGATCACTCCAAACCCCTGCTGTCATTCAGGTAAGTTAGTTCTAGGGATTTTGGATTACTTTTTATCGCCTCATTCCATTTTTTAAAACATTTTTAAATTAAACTAAAATAAAAACATTAAACTTTAAAAAATGGCTGGACTCTATAATCTTTCACTTCTAGGCATCTTAATGTATCGTAAGTAAATAAAATTAGCATAATCCTTTAAGAGTAATGACTAAATTATAGTTAATATTTCTGTTTAAGATGCATGGAGTCTGCTTTTTGTAATGAAAGGTATTGTCAGTGTCTGTGGAATAGGCAGGTGGACAAGGCCATACAGCAAAGTGAGCATGTTTTGGAATAGAGTAGAGCAAAGCACAAAAGCCTGAATATTCTATTCTCCTTGTCTCCTTAAACATATATTTAAATTTGTACAAAGTACTGCATCTGTATGTGACAGAGTGCCTGAACAGAATCTTTTATTAATTGCCTTGTCTGTAAAATGAACAGGAATGATAAATAAGATAAAGCAGTCCCCCTTATCCACAAGGTATACCTGAAACCACAGAAAATAGCAAACCATGCTTTTTCCTATACATACATACCTATAATAAATTTTAATTTATAAATTAGGTACAGTAAGAGATAATAATAATAAAATAGAATAGTTATAACATATGCCATAATAAAAGTTATGTGAATGTGGTCACTAATTTTAGATGATCCTTTGCTGAAGTCTCTCTCCATAAAGGCTCAGTGCTTTCTGGTACAATACATTGCCATTGGTCGGAACACATTTTCTGTTCATGTCTTCCACCTCCACATATTTAATGCCTTTTCCATCTTAACTAAGCACTTATCGTGCACTGTGGCCATAACTTTCGCAGTTTCAAGAGCAACAACAAACTAGCACAAATATCTTTTTCTTTCTTCACAAGTTCACAGTTAGAATATTTCGTTCTTACTGTGGATCTTGGCAACTTCACTACATAGTTTTTTCTTTTTAAGTCAGAAACTTTCACCATTTCATTTAAAGGAAGCACATTATGGCTTCTCTTTGGCATATCCAAATTGCCAGCATCACTACTTTTATACTGGGGACATTATTAAGTAAAATAACGGTTACTTGACCACGAGCACTGCAATATGATTACAGTCAATCTGATAACTGAGATGGCCACTAAGTGACTAACGAGCGAGTATAGCACATACAGCGTGGGTTCGCTAGACAAAGGTATGATTCATGTCCAGGCAGGACAGAGCAGGACAGTACGAGATTTCGTGATGCTACTCATAACAGTGCACAATTTAAAACTTATGGATTATTTATTGAATTGTTTATTTCTGGAATTTTTAATATTTTTAATGGTAACTGAAATTGCAGAAAGCAAACCGTGGATGGCAGGGAGCTACTGTAATTTCATTGGAAGACAAATCTTAAAGATGCATCAATAAAACATGGGTAATGTTGAGACTAAATTTTTCTTTTGCTTATTTAACTCGTCAAATATTTTTGCCACAGTCCTGTGGGCTTTGATAAATTTAAGTAGCAGAGCATGGGTTGGTTAGACAAAAGACAAAAGAGGAGGAACTTAGAATAGTTTATAAAGGAGGATTTAGGAGCAATAGTATCAGGTTGAAATTAGAAAATAATGCAGTTAGCAGTAACTTTCCCAGCCACGTTTAGTAACAGACTCTTACTGTTGTGTATTGTTTTGCCTATTTTTTTGTAGCTTCGGACAGTCTGCCATCTTTCTCTTGGGTGGCCTCAAAAGAGATGAAGCCCCGACAGCCATGTTTATGCACAGTGGTGACATCATGGTAATGTCAGGTTTCAGCCGCCTGTTGAACCATGCAGTCCCGAAGGTCCTCCCAAGTCCCGAGGGGGAAAGTCTGCCTTGCTGCCTAGAGACACCTCTCCCAGCCGTTCTCCCCAGAGATTCGGTGGTAGAGCCCTGTTCTGCAGAGGACTGGCAGGTGTGTGCCAGCTACTTGGAAACTGCTCGTGTTAACATGACTGTCCGACAAGTACTGGCCACAGACCAGGACTTTCCTTTGGAACCAGTGGAGGAGAATAAAAGAGACTTCACCACAGAAGGTTTCTGTCATCTGGATGACAAGAATAGCCAAGTAAAACGACCTAGGTTAAACTCTGACAGCTGAAATTTGAGACTTTTACTCAGGCAGGTCTTATACCAAATGACCATGCTGTTTTGTATCGCCATAGACTTTAGCACCAAGAAAGCCAAAAAGAGACAGGGAAAAACTCATCATTGATCACACTGTTGCCTTGGAAGCTATTTTGAAGAATAACTGATAAAGAATAAACTGACTTCTCACATACATTAGTTCCTAACCAGGACTGGACCAGAGAAGCATTTGACATGGGTCAGTATTGCTTAGACACTAATGTATGTGAGAAGTCCAAGAAAGTATGACATTCCACAGTAGCCTTCTCAGTCTCTGCCATTACCTCTGCGGGAGGTAGAAGTGAGTTTCTGTGTCTGTGGAGTCTTTAAATACCTCATATTTTATTAATGGAAAAGCTAATACCCCTCCCACCACCCCAATTAGTGATTTTGTGATAAAATTGTGGTTCCACGAACCAACCATTAGGTCCACCTTAATTCTTTCAGTCAACATCAAATCTTTTGATCTTCTCTTTCATCTTTTCTGGCCTTCACAGAATCCTATACACATTAAGACTGTGGAACTGGAACTCTCATCCCCTAAAAAAGAAATTGATCACAGCTATCTCTCTTGCACTCAAGGAAAGGGAACAGTAGTTTCTCCAAATGTCTTTTAGGTCTCTAGACTCTTGCTATTGTCTTTTTAATGCAATTTTAATTATTGGACTAAAAAAGTCCTAAGGATGTTCTGTAATTGCTCTCCACGAATAAACTTACTTGATTTTAAATTAAAGATCTGTATCAGTCTTTGTGAGTTAGTGTATCTGGGATTAGGTTTTTTCCTATTTCTACTCGACATATTATTCTTGCTATTGAAGCCCTCTTGCTGTTTCCGCCCTACCCTATCCTGCTCTACCCTAAGTATTCTTTGTGGTTATCTCACAAGAGAGAATATGTCTTGATATCCTAGTCACTACTTTTTTTAATTTTTATTTTTATTGTAGACAGGTTGTAAACCGCACGAAGCACTGAGTTTTAATCTTTGCACTCCCACCAACTCAACTCACTGTATCCTGAGCCAGGACTTATATTTCTCTAGACTTCAGTTTCCTCATCTATAAAATCTTAATATTTACTACCATCTTCCTAGAAGGATATTGCTGTTTTAAAAGATAATGAGAATTTAATGCTCCTTTCTAGAAACATGAAACATCCCGGGTCACTTGTGTGGGTGACTGGTGGAAGCCACTTACTTTGATACCTACTGCTTGCGACAT